GTGTTTCTTTCCCTTCCATGCTTGTTGCTCCCTTAACACAAAGTGAGTGAATGTCTGACTCATTCAATCATTTAGTTTCATATTCACCTAGATATTTTTCATCCACCTTTTTATTTTGTACAGAACTGCCAGCATTCGTCAGTCATGCTTCATTCAGCAGAATAGTGCTCTTATATTAGCCTAAACACTCTATCTGTAGACTACATTATATGATTTTATTACATGCTTTTACCCCCATCAGGAGGTAAAAATAAAGGACAGACAGAAGAATGCACATGAATAGAAAAAAATGATGCATTCTATATTTGAATGCTTGTACAAAATAGCAAATACCTGGTTGCTGCAAGGACAACTTAGTGATCACTTCTCCTTTTGGGGCAGTATGATTTAATGGAACTGTCCCTAAACCCTTTCTGTATGCACATCAGAAAATGATGGGTGAGACAACACCCAGTGATCATTTCTATGCTACCTAATGCCTCCTTGCATAACTCCAATATGCTTTGATATGAGCAACTATTGATTTTTGCTACAGGTTCAGTCATTTTAATGACTGATGTTGTGATTCATGGCACTTTCAGCAGTCGGTTCAAAGTGCTTTTAAAAGGTACCGCTAATGCCAGTTTAATGCAATGCAGGCAAATTAGAAATTCACATTTGGCCTTAAGGAATGACCACTATTATTAGGTTTTGTGGTAAGAACAGAAATTATTTGAAATATCTACAAGGAATTATTACAGTTTTATACAACACCGTAATTTTTGAGGTATGTGCCATTGTTTAAGAAAGTCAGTGACTTTGGCCACTTTAAATTTACCCAGGGAAAATGAAGAGATTAATATCCTAAAACTTGTGGGCAGCAGAGTTCTTACTCATATGAATGTGGATCCCAGCTGCTGCCCAAGAGTGTGATTTTTAGATGCTGGAAACCAGACAAACATAATTATCGACCTGGTAGGATAGAAAACCAGCATGACTGTGTCTTGAGGGCCGTAATTGAAAACCGCTGATATACAGATCTAATGTAGCAGCACGCCACTCAAAACTACAGCCAGCTCATCACAGACAGTAATCTCAGAAATCAGACTAAGAGTTCGAACACTTTTTAAAGGTTTGGTGACCCTGCAGTCTTCAGCACAAATAGACTATGGAGATCAACAAACTCAGACACATTCAGCTGAGACATGGACGTTTCCGTCAAAGGAATGATCTGAAGAAATGAATAAGTCCTAAATTGAAAAACTGAATTGAAGCACAACAAATGGAATCCCACTGACCATTTTAAAAGGGTGGCAGGAGAAACTTATGTGTATGACTAAGCTAGTAGAAAAATAGAGGTTTTGCAGTTTAGATTACATGACTGTTTTACTTTTAATAACTGCTGCAGCTCTTTTGCAATGCCTTGTGTATTTGAAGTGGACATTTTGCTTACAGAAGCCCAGCTTTCGTTGCTGAAGCTGGATATTTATGTTGAATTCGGTCCCATGAATAAAGTGTTTTAATCTGCTCCTTTACTGCAGCCTTTCCTCTAAAGCTTCCCCTTCTACTTCTACCTCAGTTATTGGAAACTGATAAACTAGCTCTATTCAGTTACACAGTGGGAGAGTGGGAATACTGCCACACCCAGAGAGTCAACCAGTTGACAAACACATGGACATCTCAATGATCATGCCATGTCTGTTGGTGGCATGGCATTGTGAACTCCTGGTGCAGATGCTCGTACAATGTCTCTTAAACAAAGAGTCTCTCCCTGTTGAATGTTGGTGTGAAATAGGAGTTTACATCACCAATCCATTGGTAAAATGTAACTGTGCAAAATGTGCTTAAAGTCTGGGTTCTGTATTAGAAATCAAAACATTTCTTAGCACTCCTTCAGTGTGGTGGAGCAAAATAAACCACAATTTGATACAGAACATTAGCAAGAGTAAAAGAAACCAAAATGCGATGATTAGACATAAATAAGTGATTCAATTCAACATAACTCTTAAATAGACTACATGATTAGAAATGTGTAGCACATAAATAAGTGATCCAATTCAACATAACTCTTAAATAGACTAAACAGTAAGCATGGACAAGCACAGAGAAATACAGACACCACAAACTGAGAATGGGGAACAGGAGAGCTTGATCTGTGAACACAAAACAAATTACCTAGTGTTCAGGCGCCAGTCAAAAACAATCCATTTTAGCAGAGGATGACAAATGACATGAAAGGCAACTGTGATGCTTTTGACATTTCAGCATTCTACTTTGCTTAATCTTCCCATTTTGACTCTGCTGTGAAACGCAATTCACATTGCAGTGGAGGAACGTCTACCCCTGGGAAAGATCCTGGACATCTATTTGGAAACTTTTGTTGAAAATGCACCTTAATACAGAAAAAGTCTGCATTGATTTGATTCATGAATCACAGTGTGATCATCAACATTTAAGATCTTTTCTAAACCTCAACCAAAATGTTTTTGTTGCTTCTACTGTGCCTAAACAGATGAGAGTGTGACTGCTAACTCCAGACTGTGGAGTGCTGCACTTTGTATGGCCACCACTCATTCTGAGACAGGGTTATAGTAGGATGACATCGCTTATCAGTGCCTATGGACATTCAACAAGTGACCATACAAAAAGTTTCCTGAAGATAAAATGCGCACAGTACTTCTTTAAAGGTAGGGAACAATCATTGTCATGGTCAAAAGAATCCAACATTATCTGAAAGAGCAGTTCCCCAAGTCAAAGTCTGGCATTTTTAATGTTTTCCCGACTCATCTATGAAATCCAGTGTTCTGGCTTTGGCACACAGTCCTATTATTTCCTTCTTTGCTTTAAAGAGGCATAATTAATAAGGCTGCTACAGGGCTTTGTCCCTTGACTGTAAACAAATGTGTTTGAGCATTTGCTGATGTCCTTTTTCAAGTTCAAACTTGTAAGATTATTTGGTTCTTCTTACCATTGCTAACTCTGAGAGTCGAGACAGTCCAAGTAACTTCAAAACAGTGCTGATTTATTCAAAGGATCACAGGTAAAGTTAACATTACACGCTCAGGTATCTTGCACCTCCAAACTGCTCGCAGGCGGATGTAAGATGAAAGACCCTGAACCCAACAGGCCTATACGTTATATCCCCTCGGTTGGGCTAGCCCCATACTACACAGAAACGTCAACCGAGACGTCTCTGTTGCCAGCTTTGCAGCTGGTCATAGCAGTAGTCAAAACATGAAGCAAATCAATGTGTGTGTTCGTGTCTGAATTCAAAGACTGTCCTTTCACCTGCCTCTGCTCGCTTGCTCTGCTGGCATTAGCTGTACATCCTCCTGTGTTATCCCTGTTCCCCTTTGTCTTACTGGGCCATCCTACTCCATTTACCTGACATCTCTTCACCGACACTACACTGTGTTGCAGTTTGACCCTCCTCCACCTCACTACAAGCATCAAGGTCCTGTCTGTGGCTGAGGAGGAGGAAGGGGAGGGGGAGGGATCTCTATAGCCCTGGTGATTTACAGTCATGCCTCCGTGTGACAGTGGTTTCAGGCAACAGGGGCCAACATCAAACCTCCAATCAGGCAGCTCCCTGTGCTTGTTAAATGAGTTTTATGGCTCTTGTCATTCCTACTCTCAAGTCTCTTCCCTGACAGAGCTGCACTGCAAATGGGTATCACCAGATTCAATTTGAAGAAATATGACAAATTATAGAAAATGTAGCAGTGGTTACAGTAAAAGCTTTCTAACAGCACTGTATGGTATGTAAAAAGATGGAACGTCAAACCTGGAGGACTTTCTAGGAGACATGCTGTTGTCAGCTTTTTAGGTAGATAAAGAAGTGTGTTGTTAGTATGTCACTGCCTCAAAGATGGTGAACAGGTCTGGCATTTAAAGGAGCACTGACCCATAAGAAATTACTGTGATACTTACTTTGACTGGATACTGCTGCTGCTTTGCCCACAGCAGGAACAAACAACTGGTTATAGTTGAGGAAACATGCTGATTTGTTGTATTGAGATCTTTCAGTTCTGTTTATGGCTTTTTGCTAAACATGATTACTGCTTTTGAAAATTAGATGAAGAAGTTGAAATAAAATAACTACAATATTATAAAAATTGCTCTCCTGAGGGAGTGTTTTCTTTCAAGAGTACACAGAGGTCTTTAGGAGATGGTTGGAATTTGAAGCAATTTGGCCTCTAGTAAGTAGTCTGCGCTCTCTGGCTGTGAAGCAGAGAATGAAATGAAATGAATGATAATGAAAGATGCGGTCAGAAATAAGTGGACCCGCAAACCTGACACCCATGTCTCAAAACCATCGGCACTAAAATGCTGCTATGAAAGTATCTGCTGTTTAAAAGTTGATCACTTTGAAGGTCATGTTTTCAGTGTCATGCTGCCACCAGACTTTCATTAACTCACAAAATAGCGTGACAAAGCTAAACCAAAAGTTGTTTTTTTTTATAATGGATGTTTAACCCTTGTGTTCTGTTAAGAATAATAATATTTAAAGTATAATTAGTCTTTTTCACCTCCTACATGTGAATCATCTAAAATATTTTGAAACCGGAACATTTCAGGAGTTACTCACAATATGAAATGAGTAAGGGGACTACATCAAATATTTGGAAGTGTTATGCACTTGTGATATAACTTTGACTCAGTATTTCAAATAAGAGAACGATGTCTTTTGTTGCCATACAGGAATAATTTCAGCGATTTAAAATCATGCAAAAAATCAAAAACCTATGTGGGCTTGAAAGAACTATATCTGGAAATAAATAATTCCATGACAATGACAAGCTCCCTTTGAATTCTTTCGCTACCATATATTGTTTTTTTTTTAATTGTCAATGAAAGCCTCTGTGCATTTAGCGTTTGCATCTGCAATAATTATGCAACACGAGGTGGGATCAGGCAGGCTACCCACTCACGCTATAATGATGACCACATATAGCCCTCAGCACATCCTTCACAGCACCTGCATAATGCGCTTACAGAAGAAAACGTGGTAAATGGAATAGGCAACTCCACCACCGGTTTGTTTGTGTCGGTGCTGAAGATGGAAGAAGCAGATCAACAAGAAAACAAAAGCGCATCTCATATGTGAACCAGAATTGCCTGCAGCTGCTAAACACTGCATTGAATGTATTCTATCTCTCTTTTTATTTCTCCCACATGCGCGCCTGCACACGCGCGCACACGCTTTCCCCACGCAGCCAAGCGCGCGCACGGAAACCTGCTTGTCAATGCACTGCACAGGAGCCCCTGACAGTGCCCGTGCCTGCCTGTGATCGCTGCCGCTCCGCAGGATGTTTGCGCAGAGGACACCTGCCTCCGCTGGTGACTGCCCCGACCCCGCAGGAACAATCCAGCACGTTTCCACTTCCTAACTTTTGCAACGTGTGACGGTTTTTGTTGTTACGAGACTATGTTTCTATCGGGTGAAAAAACCCGGTAGAGCCAGGCGTTGATTGACTTCCAACTTGGGGCTTGATGACACGGTTATTTGCGGCAGGTTTGGAAAGTTGCACTGCGTCAGGGAGTATGGGCGCAAACTTTAATAGCTTTTTATAATCGAGTGACAGTTTCTAGAATGAAAGCAGGTGAGTCACCCTTTGCGTGAGAGGCGCGCAGAGCTCCACGACTCTCCAGGTGCTGGAAAGGAAAAGCTACACTGAGGAAGTCGTGATCTGTGCGGCGGATTGCGCTACGGAGGACGGAACGGTCCGATGAGACAACATGGGTAAGTAAGTGGAGGACTGTCTCATTTTGAAAACATTTCCGCCAGAGGATGTAGAGCCCCGGGAGTCCTCAAATCGTCACTGTTATTAGTTAGGGACCACTTGGGTCTTTATAACGATAGGCTGTGGGTTGGTCTTTCTCCTCTGGCGCATCCGTGTGTGTAGATGTTCAGAAAATTTCCCCAGTTCCTTCGTGGTATATCCCTGCGCTATACGCTCTCCAGTATTTCAGAGCAGCACTTTTGTCTTTTGTCCTATTTTTTTGCAACGATTTTCTCGAATTGTGCATTTTTCTTTTATTTTATTTTGTTTTTAGGACCAACATCTCCACTGAGAGACCATCATTCTCTAATAATGAAATTTAAAAAGCGAGTTCTACAGGCTGGAGGGTTCATGCTTCTGAATATGAAAGGGAAGAGGGAGGCAATACTCTCACCTTTATGATGTGGAAGCCCAAAATCTGAATCAGTTAACGTGGTTCTGTGTAGCAGCCAGAGAAGTGAAGCAAAATAATAGCTCATCACCTGTCAGATGAAGTCCTTGCAACTGAAACTGCAATGACAAGTTTATGCATGCATTCCCAGTTGACTTGAAACGGCCAAAATGTGGTGAGATGTCTGTTTTCTGTAGTCCCCCCCACCCCCAAGCCTCTTCCTGTCTTTCCCTCAAAAGCTCTGACATGTTTTGACTCCATCCTATTTCTTCTACCCCCTCCCCTCGTTCCCTTACAGCTCTGAGCACCTACAATCTCATCCCACACTGCCTATTACCTCCTCCATTTTAGTGACTGGGGGTGCTCCAAAGATAAATTCACCGCTCAGCCTCCCAAGCCCACACTTCTCTCTGTGTTTCAAGGGGGTTGTGTTCCGCATCTCCAGTCTTTTTTTGGGGGGGGGGCTCAAACAAACTGTGGGTGTTCAGAATGTCACTGAATCTGTGATGAAATAATGTTGTCACTTTCAAGCAGTCTGGAGCTGCTTTAGCAGACAGTCTCACGGTGTTCCAGTTTTATTCTAGTGGAACTTTTACTGTTGAATATGGTAGTGAAGGACTTTTATTCATACACAGATACTCACATGCATGTACACGCCACAGAAAAACACAAGGCACGTTTGACAGATAGATGTGCCAAGATAGAGCTGTTTGAGTGGTTTTACCCTGCACCGCTGTCTGTTGTTTTGATTGTCTCGCCTTCTTGCTTTTTGGGTTATACTGCAGTTTTATTTTTGTTTTTATGTTTTCATTCCCAGCTATACTGAAAAGCTGGCACAGGCTGGAGAGATGCATGCTGCCCACACATCTGTGCAGAATTGTATCATTTCCCCAAGTAATGAGCAGCTTAGTGCAGCTACTGAGCACATACCATTACAGTTTTAATTATGTCGCCACAATTAGGCTCCTATAATCCAAAATGACTCGTTGCATTTGTTAGGATATTGTCAAATAATCGAAACTCTCTCACTGTATTCATGGCATCCTCATCCATCACCTTGTTTTCCTCATGCAGGGGCAGATTAAATTAGAAAAATGTCTTCAGTTTTCTCCTTGAAACTGACAGTAAATCTTGACATTGTTGTGTCCACAAGTTCGAAGTAGACATTTTGAAGAGACGTTTTATTCTGAGGAACTCGGAATGTTCACAATTCATGAGAAGCAGCAAAAGACCTCCCCCTGGCCCCAGAACTTGGCTGATTGTCTGCTTTGTTTCAGCTAAAGACAGCTTCATGCAAACTTCCCTCTGTACACATACTATCCCCTCCTTATCATATGGAGAGCCCAGATTTTGTCTCCAGAAACCAAAACTCCCCCTCTCCTTGTGACTTTTACTACACTAGAATACACATTCTGTGACTTCACACTTCTGACCTCAGACAAGAAGACACCAGCATTAGCATAAAATTGGCTCAATGTTTTTGTTTTTCCTCTTATGACAACTGAAAATGTTAAAATATGTTAACCAAAGTTGTGTGAAATGTCTAAACAGAAGTTTAGAGATGTTTTAGTCAAGCTGATTTCTGGACATAGTCCAGCCACGACATCTTCCTTAACTTCGCCTTGTAACAATGGCAATTTTATCTTAACATGAAAATGCAAAATCTAGGATCCAAGGTGTGTAAACAATAAATATTTTTATTATGCATAGTTCAAATCTGCCTAATCCTATGCAGCGTTAAGTCTAAAATAGTGCAAAACATGAGCAGGAAATCAAAGTTTTGATTTTTCCGTTTTATGTTCTTAACAAATGCTTGCTTATGTTAAGTTAACTTTCCTGTATCTCCACAAAATGTCTACTTATGCTTTTTTATGTTCAAACTATATGTTGGTTAAATGTTGTGTTTAAATATTAGTTGTTTCACATTCCAGTCACATGTAGCTGTGTGTCAAATGTCGGCCATGGTGGAAGTGTGAGCGTTTCCACAGCGCGCTTTCAAAGCACCAATCAGGAACCTGCTGCTATAACAACAGAGTTCCAGCCAGTCAGAGGACTCCCACTGGCAGACTCCTGAGCAGTCAGGCAAAGCCAAGACTGCTCGAGTAGCGCCTCTCCTTGGTCTCAGAACAGAAGAAAGAAGAAGAAAGTGGAACCTCCAAAGTGTGTCATCTGCCTCTCATCTGCGAGTTTTCGTGTTGTGTCTAAAATTCCTTTTTCTAAATTGCTCACATTGCCACAAGAAGTTTTTGGTTTTTTCCTTATTTAGCAACATTATAATAACTTTTTAATCTTTATTATGTAACTCGGCAGGAAGCTGACCTGAAGTAAAGTAAAATTGAAATAATTTTCAAAGTTTTTTCAAACAAAGTTTTTAGTAACAAAGTCAAAAGCCAAATTTACTTAAACTGAATCATTTGTTAAGCTCTGAAGATGCCGTCAGAACGATCCTGTGATGATCAGTTTAATTTGGACACGGTTTTTCCTCAAGACATCGCCCGGTGCCACAAACACAGGAGGGCTCTGACGAAACCATTTTCAGAGCCAATACCCAGCCACCACTGAGAAGCAGCTTCATCCGAGTGAGCCAGCCGAATCCCGTGATGACAGATTTGTCCTGAGCCCAAGCTCAGGACCATCTCTGAACTTCGGACCTCCCCAGACCTCTACTCTGGTCCAAAAGGCTTCACAACCCAGCGCTTCTCCTTCTTTGGCAACATGGGCCTTGCCAATAGATAAGCGACCTGCATGAAAAACATAGTCTTACTTAATTAAAGCCTCTAATCTATAACCAATAGTTAATTTTCCAAATTTTAGACAAGTTGTATAACTCATTATTCCGCCATTGCAAACAATAGGCTACTCCTTCCATTCATTCATCAGTCTGTTGGTTAATCATCCTTGTTACATGTGTACCATTTTAATGCATTTTTCATCCCAATTGTTTTCCCTTTTGTACATATTGTAAATAAATGTATTTAGCTTACAACTGGCTTTATTATGTCATCTTTTTTTCTTTTATTTGCGGATACATGGGTCAATGTCCTGAGAACTCCAAAGTTACCAGTGAGACTGAATTAATTACTCTGACTAAGAAATTCCTCAATAGTGTGATAGAACTATAACCATCTGGTGCACTGATTATAGCAAGGTATGATTATGAACATAGATTTTAATATTTAAAGTGCAGTCATTTCTGCTGCAACATCAACATGATTGGTTTATCCTGATCATCTACCCAGCAGGGCAGGATCGGTTTTGGCAATAGTGAAGCAACAATCTTTGTTCAGAGTAGCAACTAGAATTACAACTGACAGTGCTTTCAGTATAGATTATTATTATTGTTATTACTGATGAATCTAAGTATGAATAATGTCCATGCAGTTTTCTTTAGATTGCCACAGTCCACACCAGCAGAATATACAATTTGCAATTACTGTATATCAACCTGACAAAGTCCTCACATTTGAGAGGCTATAAATAGAGTTTGACATTTTTTGCATTAATGACTAGTGTGAAAGTGCTTCAAGTATAGTGCATAGACGAGCACTATACAATTATGAGTCCATTTCTCATTCAAAACTATTACCAAGTAATGTGGTTTTTAAAATGAAAAGAGTTAATGAGGAACATACTTTTTACTAACAAGCCCACACTGATGTATTTTAATTACCTATTTGGGGCCTAAGGTGTGAAATTAATATTCAGACCTGTCTCTCACAACAGCAAGCACGATGAAGCTGCATGTTTCAGTTTAAAGAAAGTAAGGACAGGTAAAATAATGCAATAGTCTTTATCATCAGCACAGGCACACAGGTCTCCTTTCAGAATAGACTGAACACACTTGTTTGCTGTAGTGGTACTACTTAGGCAAGGGCAACAAGGCAATTACACTCAAATAACCTTCAATTTGTTCAATAATCCGTAAGTTTCTTAGAGGAAACGCAGGCCGTAATTGTTTTGTGGCACACTACTGTGGAAGAAATAGCCTGACGGTTTTTGGGGGAAAAATCACCTATGGACAGTTTTTCCATTTTATATCTTCAAGCTTATAATAGCGCAGATAATTGGAAGAGCCAGTGTTACTCACAGGTTTGCCGCTGGCACAAAAGCAAAACTTCCCATAGCTTTAAGATCATTATGCAGTCTTAGAGAGCAGATGTGGATCTACTTTCTCAGCTCTATAAATTCATTCTAATACTGCCAGATTTTAATTAGATCAAATACATTCAACTGAATGACAAGGTCTCTACCGATTAAAGCAGTTGTCCAACATACTGTTGCTGTAAACTGCTTGGATTTACACTGCTTCTTCCAGAGTCCTGCCAAGTATAATGGAGAAAAAATGTTGAATGTATTAGAATTTAAAGAAGAAAAACTAACTACAGGCAACAGTTGAAATGGCTAGAGCTGTAGCTATCAATAAGGATTATTCTGTCAGCCTGATGCAATGTTTCCTTATTGTGAGCTTGACTGAAAGTCCCCATCAGGCACTTTTTGAAGCATTTTAGTAACATTCACTTCACCACTACCCACGCATGCCATCAAACCATCATAACACAACATATCACA